CGTTTTGGGGAAGAAAAAATGCGTCTTATATGCCAAAAAATATGGTACCTCCCATGTCTAGCCAGATGCCATCCCATGGCTAGTGTAGCATCAACAGTCACATCAGTGGGACTACTCAGGAACAAATCAGTCTTGACATTCTGAATACCGTACTGTTTCTTTCTTTTTGTATTTTTATCTGCTTTTCCTTCACATATAATACTGTGTATAATTCAGTGCTCTTCTGTCTTGTTTGATATTACTTTCTTTCAGTTTGACCTCTGGTACTTTCTTTCATTTATTGCTGCCTTTTACGCAGATAGTTCATGGGCCTGTGCATCCAGTTCAGTTCCCACTTGCTCCTTGGCACTTCTTCCTTTGGCCTCTGTTCAGCTCTCTGTTGACCCCTGCTTCATTTTTCTCCTTCCTTCTATAGCCTGTAACCTTTTCTCCTTTTCAGCCTTTGAAAACAACCAGGTATATATAGACATCTGGACATCTTGTTGCTTTCAGGACAACTGTATTCAGTATTAAACTTCATGGTTGAACAAGTATTGATGTAACAATGAAAAGCTGAAACACATGATGTTCTGAAAGCTATCAGATTAATCAGGCTTGAATACTGATCTTGATCAGTTGTTTTTTTTCAGTTTCTATTTGTGCTTGACTGATTGTAATTTGAATCATAAAAAGTTGTCTACAGAAGGGGAAGGAAAGGTAGGAATAATTTACCCTCATTTTATGTCAACTCATGTGTGTGTGTTAAAAAAGGAGTCTATAACACTAAGGGGGGAAGCAGACTGGCGGCTCTGCGCCGCCCCGGGAAGGTCTGCTGCAGGACCGAGGCAGCCCCACGCCTCGTTCCTGTGGCTTTCCCTCGCCGCCCCTGAAAGGAGCGCAAAAATAGTGCTCCTTTCACAAGTCAGCAAAAGTGTGCCTCAAAAGCATGAGGCACACTTTCACTGACTTATCCGCCACAGCGTGTGCGGACGCTGCGGCAGGAGGTTGCCCTGGGAGCACTGGCTGTGCGGAGGGCTGGCGGCTCTGAGGGCAACCTTGGGAGGATGAAGGGGCGCCGAGCATGCAGCTGCCCCTCCTTTTCCCTGCCTCGGAGATGGCTCAATTAGCCGACTGCTGAGGCCCTAAGAGATTTCACTGTATGGCTGAAGGATCAGCTACAATGCTCTTTTGCTTTGATGGATCAATTTAACAGGAAAATCTCATTGAAATGTATGGATAAAGTATGTGGAGACTATTATAGGTTGCACACATTTGCAGGGTACAGTGACCCATGCCAGTATATGACAGCACATGAAAAAAAATCATCAATGTTTTCAGGAATGTATTGTGAATATCACAAGGATATCTAATCCAGGAAGGAAAAAGGTGGCAAAGACAGTCCTTATATCTATTAATTTACCCAATATAGAAACCTACCCAGCAATGCTCCAGCTCTATGAAACTTATTGAAGGTGGTACCATGTGATAGACTAAGCTTTTAATTGTTCAGAAGCTGTTCTCATTCAGAAGTGGTGTGTGACATCAGTAATGGAGGAGGACTTACTTGAGTTTCATCAAGGAAAGGAGGTATCTCAAGAAACCAGGATGGATGACTAAAGAATTTTCTACTGAACTAAATTTTGAATTAGAGATGTATAAGAAATGGAAAAGGGAGGAAATCAAACCAAAAAGGAATTCAAACAAATAGCTAACAGATGTAGGGGAAAGTCAGAATAAGCTCAAGCTTGCTAGAGAGGTTAAGAATAATAGAAAGGGTGTTTTGTTTTGTTTTTGTTTTTTGAAGTCCATAGCAAAAGGAAGAAGGAAATAGTATGACCTCCTCATGGAGAGGATTGTGCAATGATAACAGGGGACAGAGAAAAGGCAGAACTAGTCAACATTGGCTTTTTGCCATCCCATATAAATTTTGAAATGTCTTGTTGCCAAATTTTGAAGATTTTGGGTTGTAGTATTATGGGAATATTCTGAAACAAGTACATCGTTTTGGGCAAAATGTTCATAGAGATTGCCGATATTCTCTCTGTTAGAGATAATTGAAGTTTCGACCAGTTGTGCAAGTCTTTTTTGATTTCCTCCCAGGTTTGTTTTTAATTGTTTCCATACAACTCCATATTTCTTTTTGTAAACCAAATTCCTAAGTATTTTATTTTTTTCTCAGTTTTCGTACCTGATATCTCATAAATTTATATTTCTTCATTCCTTGTTACATTCTTTGTAATAACTTGAACCTGAGATAATAATAAAATTATTGTTATTATTTGTAATAATTTTTATTATTTTCTTTATTGACTTTAACTCCTGATAATTCACCAAATTCTTTTAAGATTTTCAACAGTTCACTTATGCCTTCTAATAGGTCTTCCAGGAAAATCATGAGGTCATCTGCATATACTTTCAATTTGTATGACTGTCCTTTAATTCTTGGGCCTTTAATTGATGGGTTATTCCTGATGGTAGTGTTCAGTATCTCCATCACAGTAATAAATAAAAGTGGGGATAGTGGGC